TCATAAATCGGAAATCGGGAAACAACAGATGGACAGAGAGAATGATTATAATCCATGTGTCAGTCCATATGACATCTAGAATGGAGGAATATATGATCCCTTATCTAATGGACATGTCATTGACTAGGTCAGAGTTCGACAGCGGATTTTAAGAGCTACGATTGCTAGTCGGGTTTTGCAGTATACTTGCAATAATAGTTTTAGACTTATCCAAGTGGGAGACTGTTGGATTAGATGTCTAAGCCCATAACTATTATAGGTATGTACTCGACCCGAGAGTAGCATGGTCCATTTGGGTTGCATATCATCGGGACAATTTGTTAGGATGGATTCTTGAGAGAATGTTATATATGATTTATTAATATATTATAAGTAATAATATATTAATATGAAATCACATGTTTTAATTAGTATTGATCATGAATTAATTTGGAATTAATTTAGTGATCAAAAGAGACTAATTGAATCTATGGGGACTAATTATGGTAATTAGTTATATTTATATGTGTTGGGCTTATGATCCATGTTTGACTAAGTTTATGTATGGATACATAAAGAGTTGAGCCACATGAACCATGGATCATAAAATCCATGGGTATGGATTTGGGTTATACCCATGACCCTTGGAATCCTACATATAAATAGGTTAGTAAATAGCCAAAAACGCCATTTCTTAGCATGTTCTTGGAGTTCATGGGTGTTTTTGGGTGCATGGAATTCTCTCTCAAGTTCCACATTTGTCCATGATGTGTTGTGACTTCATTTGAGGCTTCCACACTATTGGGGCTAAGCTCTTAAGGCCAAATACATCAAGACTTCAAGCTACATGATAAGGTATGTTACGCTAACTAGTATCTTGTATGGTATATGTCAATTGAATGCTAGTTATAGGCTTAATACCTTGGAAACACCATTGCATGTATAATTAGTGAAAACATAGATCCAAGATATTTAGAGTTGTATGTGCACCATAGGATGTTGTAGTATACAAAACCCAACAGAAGGCACCAAGGCTGGCCCATTAGATTAGATATCCTGATTTGTTGTATGTTGTTATACGTAATTACGTGGTACTAGTTATGTGATTAGACTGGTAGATCTGTAGGACTACCTATGTTATCTGTGATTGATTGATAATGTTATGCATTGATATGTTAGGGTTTACTAGGCTGAGGCGGACCAGTGGATAGACTGAAGACCAAGATACCCAGGGCGATCCAGATAGACTGAAGGCCTGCGAGGCGGACCAGTCAGGCCGAAGGTCCAGAGAGCGGTCCAGGTGGGCTGTAATCCCGGTGAGGCGGTCCAGTCATGCTGAAGGCTCTGTATGCATGCTGTTGTTTGTTATGTTTATGTAGACGTACCTTGGGGGAACTCACTACGCGTTGGCTTATAGTTTTAGTTTTGTTTCAGGTACTTCATAGGACCGTGGCAAGGCAAAGTTATGACCATACACATCCTTGGTTTCAGGTTGTTGATCTTGAGAGACTCTGATTTTAAATAATGTTTTTGGAAACAATGGTTATGTAAACAATTTTTTATAGCAAATGGGTTGTTTTGAAAAGTTTAAATTTGTCGTGATTTTTGAGATGTTACAAGTTGGTATCAGACCCTCGGTTTGAGCAAATTGGAGAAACATTCGTGTGAATCCAAGCTCAAACTAAGGAACTGAAAAAGTTTTAAAAATGATTTTCAAAATCATTTTCAAAAGTAACCAAGGAAGGATGTGATGTGTACGATCAGAGGGGTTGCATCATTTACAAGTTTGATCCCTAATCACGGCAAATGGCATGGGTCAAAGGGGTTGCATCAATTACAAAGTCAAAGGCCATACCCCAATTGTAGTGGTTTTGTTGACCTATCAAAGGGCATGGTGGCAATGCCTCGTAACCTAAATAGAATTTCAAGACTAGGATTAAGTGGGAAAACACCCTCTAAGTAGTAAATCGGCTTTAAAAAGGTGTATTGGGCTTAGGCTGACTTGTCAGCTCTAAGATTCAGTTTGGAGAGTCAGCTCGGGTTGAATCTGGTCAGTTTTAATGGTGTCAATATGTGACTAATGTTGGTCAGCTCAAGTTGACTTGTTAGTTCGGGTTGACTTTGACTAGTTTAGATAATATCAGTTTGGGCTTAACTTGTCATTTCTCGTTCAAACTAACCTGTCAATTTAACATAAAAAAAATCCTTAAACTATCTATAACTATTTCTAACTTCGTAAACCACCATTTTCTTCATCATTATCTAATTTTAGGAGAATATAAATATAAAGACTCACGGTACACCATTTTGAAATATAAAAGATCTTGAACAATCCTTAAATTACGTTACTTCCTTTTTGTGCTTAAAACGGTGCATTTTGTGAATCATTGTATTTTGAAATTTGTGTAACTTAGGCATAGAGATGAATTATCGATTAAGGATGGGGAATTTTACACGATTCATCAAGTTTTATAGAAATATTTTAATTGTCTAATCTGACTCTATTTTTCTTCCTAGTTTGGTCTAACCGATGAGGTTGAAGATGAATAATGTTTAAAAGAATTCTCCGTTAAAGAGGCCAAAAACACCTTCCTTGACAGATCCTCCGCTTACTAAGATATCATTTAGGACCAAAACGACATAAAATAGTTGCTTTCGGATCAAAAGAGCATAAAAGAGTTTTCAATGGACTAAACTTTCAAAATAGTTACAACTCCAAGTCTCCAAATTTGTAGCTTGCTCAAAAGCAAAGTCTTCTACTTTTCACACTCTCTTTCTTCCTCCAATTTTTAAGTAATGTCACTTTCTTTTATTCCACCTTTACATATATTAGCATTATATCACCAATAAAAAGGCTGAATAAGGTCTTGGACCTTTGTCCTGTCTCCATCCATAGTAGGTATATATGATCTTGAATTTTCACTTTTAACATGAACATATCATATTTCATACTTTAACTAGTTTTCTATTTTTTGATGGCTGATATTTGAGTATGTTTTGTAACACTAACCCACTACATATTATAAAAATACCACATGGAAGACACACAACATAAGTTTGGTAGATGCGCCTTTTGATCTTTCAACCATCTTGGCTGCATGCACGTTAAGTGAGAGCTCATTTTTGTTTGTGTTTATTAAAAGGTAAACAGATGCAAAAATACTAATATATATAATTATATATAACATCAACCAAAGCCCAGATGAATCTAATCACAAGATCATTGTCAGCCTACAAATTACACCCATTCTTTCTTGTTAGTTTCAAACTATAAACATTTAATTTCTAAAATTTCTGAAAAGTAACCAACCAAGAAACACTAAAAAATCAAAACAAAAACCCGAAATCGCCCCCGTATCTCTAATACGAACCTAAAGCATACGTGTTTTACACATCCATCCACATCTTGATTTTCCAATTTGGGGCAAAATCCGCCTCTCCTTTTGAAAAAAAACTAATCACCTTTTCTTTCTTCCCAGAATACCAATCATAGCAATCACATAAATAACCAATACTTGATGAATGCTCATGGTATTCTCTATAAACAAGGTTATAAGTTCATGCCATATCCATTGTCTGCTAAGCTTACAGGAAGTTGTAATACTCCTGCAGAATGTTGGAAATTGTTGAGTAGAGAATTCCCAGTTTGCATAATCTTTTTATCAAGATGAGTATCTAATGCACTCGACCCCATTGTTTGTAGAAGTTGAACTAGTGCTGCAAATATCTCATGCCTTGTTACATGCCTTTTCGCCTGTAAAATCAAATCAAATCAATTAAAACGACACAAACTTAATTATTAATTCTTGTTTTTTCACAATTTTGTAAAGCGTGTTTTTACCTCAGCTTCAACTATAAAACGTGCCCATATCTTTTCCTCTCGAACTTCCATGACTCCCTTCAAAATGGTCAACCCAAAACCTCGGATTATGTCCACAATCTCAAGAAAGAACCCGTGTTCTTCACATAGCATCTACATCAAGAAATATATTTCATTAACTAAAAAGTAAACATACTACATAAATGCAGATACAATTATTGTTACTTTTTTAATACCTCTATGAGCATTTGTCCGAGGGTACTAAGGTCCTCCACTATTAATGGACAAATCATCGTTTGGTTTCCCAATTCACATGCCCATGTCACACCATTGTTGTTTGGATCATTGGAATAATTATTCTGAATAACACCGTTATGCTGAGAAAATAGAAAAATCAGTATTTTTGAAGTTATGTCAAAACCCTACATTTTGAAAATTTGTCATAAAGAGGAACGACTTTGATTACCTTTGGTTCATCAGCCTGTTTGATTCTGTCTGCGTGTTTTGTTACACTTTGCAAGAAAAGCATGTGTTTGATTGTTCGATCCAACAAACAGTCGATGCTCATCTGCAGAATCAAGAAACCAATTACATAAACTTGTAATTAATCTTTTATGATCTTTATAAAGTATTAGTATTTTTCTATATTTTTTTTAATTGAATTGCATACCTTTTCGCCATTAGGGATCAATTCTCTTAACTCAGCCATACGATCCAAAATCATCTGACGATCTTTGGGCCTGGGTCGGGTCCCGGGTTTAGCTTTTTTCTTAATGGGCTTTGAAGATTCGGTTTGTTTTTTAGCTTGCAAGATTGTGCTTGACCCATCCATGCTATACCCATCACCTACCCATGATCCACCTGGCTCGATTTTAAGACTCTTGTTATATACAACAGGTTGCAATGAACATGAATTACTCATTTCCCATATGGAATTTCCTGTTTTCCTTCTTTTAGACGACACTTGATCCTCAATGCATGAGGTTGAAGGGGTGTTGGAAGTTCCAGAAATACCCTCGAAAAGCTCTTTGATCCCAAGATTCGAGAACAGCCCTTTCTTTGGAGTAAGGGTAGTTGTGTCATTTACATGTTGGGTTGGCTTCGACATGGATGTACATCCATTGTAAGAATAGTTTTCGTTTATGAGAGGTGTTACAATGTCTCCCAAATCTCCTGTACTTCCAAAAAGGTCAACATCTATTCCGGAAATAGTCAAAGATTTGCCTTTTTCTTCAGAATTGATTGGAAGAAACCCCATGGATTGAGATAACAAGTGGTCGTTTGACATTAAGCTGCCGAATGTAACATTGCTTTGACCAGGGGACTGAGGGTAAAATTGGGAATTACTGACATCTGTTTGGAAGAAATCATCTGGGATCATTCCAAAATCCATAGGTATCGGCAAGTCGAACAAATCCTGATGTAAATTTGTAATGGATTGGTTATTATCGATTTGGGGAAAAGCTAAAGAAGCGCCATCTCCGAAATTAGAATCTTGAGATGAAATCAAAGAGGCGAACAATCCATTTGGGGAAGACGATGAAATTGCAGTTGCAGGTCCTTCGCCGTTTACGATTTCATTGAACATTCTTTTGGTTTGATTTATAAAGTCTGTGGTTTCAAGAATCTGAGCATCAAAAACAACAATACATTAGATCTAGAGATGTACATGGAAATTATAAAAAGACAAACAAAAAGAATTACTAACCTTCTCAGATGACCCAAATTGCACAACTCCTTGTGGTTCCACAGGGATTGCTGCAATTGTCTGCAAGAGTAAAGTTACTAAAAGCTGAAATTTATGATTCGTACATGTTTTTGGACCAAAATCGTTGTCTCATGAACAGGGACAACAGGTACAACCAAAGTGGTACCATTAACAAACTCAAGTTAAACCAAAATAAGTACCTTTATACCAGACGAAAATTGAAGACAAAATTTTGAATCGTCCTGGGAAATTAAATTAAATAAAAAACGATCAACAAGAATTCATCGTCGATTAAAAGGAAGAAAAAAAAAAGATTGAATTAATCCGTACCCGAAACATATCCCAGATCGAACCCGAAGAGTTTTGTCCAGTGTAATTATCTTCCGAGGACATCCAAAGGTGCTTTTTAGTAAAAGCAGCTTGTCCAATTAACCTAAAAAAGATTCAAGAAAGTATTAATGATTAATCACGTTAAAAGATTGGTTATTTTTAGAAAAATTTCAGTTTAAACCAAATTAAGGAAAATTAATTGATGTTTTACATAAAGATTAGGGAAAATTAAACGTACCCTCCTCCAAGCATGGGCGTTTGTAGATGCAAATCATGGATCAGACCTCTGATTTCTTCCTCAAAAAAAACATCTTGCATAGTCAACAATCTGGAAAAAACAAACAATATATTTTAAGAATAAATATATAGAAAAAAGACTTGATAAAACACAGAAGTAGATCAAACAAAAGATACACTAATTTATAAATCGAATCGGTTTAGAAGATTTGAAATAATGAACATTTAAGTTGGGGAATATTCTTAAGGAGGAATTAATGTATGGATTTACTAAATTCATCCGCAATATGTGATGATGCTGACAAGATCTCACCCCAAAACTTGTCATTTTCTTAATACCATAAAACTGAAATCAACAAATGATCCTTTTTTAGACAAAATTCTTCCTCCGATTAGAATAAAAATGAAAATGCATTTTAGATAACAGTGATACTGATAAAAGACANAAATGATATGTAGAAAAAAAAAAAAAAAAAAAAAAAAAAAAAAGATGAAGATGTGATTTTTGAGAAAATGGTCAACCAACCCAAAAAAAATTATACACAAGATTAACAAGAAGATTAGAACATAAACACGATTTAGACCCGAAAATAGTATCTATATATATACATATCTGTATCTATATGTGTGTGTGTGATACTGATACAGAACTACAGAAGTAGGGAGTCATACAGAGAATTTGGCTGGTCAAATCTCCAGAAAACGCCATAAGACCATCCATAAGAGCGACAGAGATTCTTGAGCACATTTTGAACAGTTGAATCTTTCTGTGTTGTACCCATTTGTACAGAAGATCAAAAATCAATCAAAAGGAAACTGATAAATCTTTTTTTTTTCTCTTTCGAAGACGACTTATTAGAGAGCTAGATTAAGCTCTGGGGGCAAATTCTGCAATAAAACGAAGAAAAGCGAGGCGTTGTTCTTCTTCCACGAGACAAAGATTGCAAAGGCCAGAAAAAAGAAACCGCACTTGAAATAAGTGCTTTGGAAAAGCAATTTCCGAGTAGTTTAAAGTTTCAAAAAACAAGAAAAGCACAGCAGGCAGCAGGTGTGTTTTACTAAGCTTACGTCTGTGTGTGTGTGTGGGAAGATGAGGTTTCAGGAAAAAGGTAAAGCTGAGATTGTGTTTTTCCGAAAATGAAAGAGATGAGATGAAGGGTTTCTGATGCAGTTACACTGTCGAAAACAGTTTATGGGTGTTTGAAGCATACATTCAACAAGATTAAAATAAGATAAAGAAAAAACAAAGGGCTTCAAATGTCCGAAGAAAAAGCTGTTATTCTGTGAGAAAACAAAGCTAAAACACTAGCTATTAAAGGGATCTCTGGTATGAGTCAGGAAGATGCATATTTTTTTTAGGTGGGGGTGGGGGTGGGGGGTAGGGGTAGGTGGGGCAAGGTGGGGTTTTGTCTTTGAGAAAGAAAAGACCAAAAGAAAAACTCCGAGCTCAAAGGATTACAAAGATCTTTCTTGGTTTCTCTCTCCCCCATTTAATGTGTTTATTACACAAACGATCCCTGGACTATGTTTCAATATCGGCTTTTTTGTTATAAGGTTTATACATATTGTCTCATTAAGCTTTCCAAGAATACCTTTTTTAGGTAAAAGATCTTTATTTTTTGTTGTAGCATTTGACAACTTTGTATATGTAATATCTTTTGTCTCAACATCCATAATGGCAGTGCATAATTTTCATTTCATATTTTATTTATTACAAAGAATCCTATATAATTCATATACTTTCTTTTTTACGCATTATAATAAATAGGAAATTGTGTATATACAACTTATATTGCCTTAGCAATGTATAATATTATATGAGGCGATTTCATACATGTAAACTAATGAGTTATAGGTGATTAAGAAAATATTATTGTATGTTAGAATTTACACATCCTTATTAAATATGTGCTATTATGTAGTTACATGTGTTAAATGAAAAATAAGTAAAATATGTTGCATTGTTTTGGAATTTTATGCCATTTAGATTCTTATGTTCATAGGATCCTACTTGATTGCAATGTAATTTTAATGCCTATATATAGAAATTCTGGGCATTTTATGCCAATCAACCAAGAAACATAATATTTTCTCAGTTAAGTAAGAATTACTTCCATTTTGTTTACGGAATTACAAAATATAAATTAGTAAGAAAAAAAAAACTAGTTATAAAAATATCAAGTAGTAATAACATGTAAACAATAGAATCTCGTATTGCATTAAAAACAATTAACATCAATAAAAATGATATTTTGATCACTAATTCATAAGTAACATTAACTTCAATAATTAAAATAATTAATATAGTGATTTTTTATGCAATATCTTGAAATAAAACCCATCGTAGTTGTTATAGCTCAAAAGTAATGTAGCATTTCATTTGATATATTAGAGACATGTTATTCGATAAATGATTAAAATATAAATATAAATAAATAAAATATCATCTAACATTGACAAACTTAAACTTTTTGAATAAAAATCATTATAAGCCAACATGAGAGACATGTTATTTATATGGTTGTAAATAAAGTAAGACGTGACTTGGCGGCATAGCCAAGCCTTAAGTCTTGCAAAATATGACGAGGTTTTGGTGTTTTTCAAAGCTTTACAAAGTGGCATAATTTATATATATATATATATATATATATATATATATATATATATATATATATATACTATCATCCAATTATATAAATAAGTCCTATATTAAAAAAAAAACATAATGTCTTCACATGTCAATATACATTTAATCTAACATATAGTCACATATTTACAATCATACTAAAAGTTTACAAAAATGTCATCTTTCAAAAAGTCGATAAACATTACAAAAGCATCTTATATCCAAAGAGGAAAAAAAAAACTCTTTGTGGCCACGGAGGTTCAACTGCGATGACTATGGGCTACTCGCAAAGCATGTCGGAACCTCGACTCCATAGTAGGTAAAAAAAATGTGTTACACAAAAAAGCACGCCTTTTCACGCCTTACCTCGCTATTTGGGCGCCAAGCTTTACTGAAACATCCCAAAATATGACCAAAAAATTTTTGTTTTGATATTACTAAAAATCACATCATCGAATGTCATACATACTAAGAACCATAAAATGAGTAACTCAAAAGTCACATAACTGTGTCAAACAAATACTGTATCAATCATATCAAAATATCTGAATGAAACTCCCAGGATAAAACTGAAACTGTGGTGTGTGTCATGCTATCATCCCGAGCTCTTCCCCTTACTTGCGGAAGTACCTGAAACCAAAACTGAAACTATAAGCACAAAGCTTAGTGAGTTTCCCCCAAACTACCATATACCATACAACGACATGTAAGCAAATAATGGGCCCCGCCCGGCATCAGACCGAAGTCTGGAACTAGCTTGGGCCCCGCCCACTACATCGGGCCCCGCCCGACATCGGACCGAAGTCTGGAACTAGCTTGGGCCCCGCCCACTACATCGGGCCCCGCCCGACATCGGACCGAAGCCCGGAACTATAGAACATAACATAACCGAACATAACATGCATGAATCACGAAGACAACAAGCATACATATCTACTTCTCGGGACCCTCCCAGCATCGGACCGAAGTCCGGAACTACTGCTAACTAAACGGGTCGGCATTGTGGCCGTAGACCCGTTCCTA